CTTCTTACACTTTGTATCCGTTTGTGATTAACATCCCTATATAAGCGCCATGGCATTGTTCACCAGACTAGACGAGGCTGCTTCTATCTGTATATACGCAGATTCTGTCTCTTGAAATTGTTCTGTAGACTACATGGTCCTACCTTGACCTGCTGCTCAATATTAGCATGACGCTTAGCAAGACGGAGCATCGTAACACAGACGCAATCTATCCATGACGTCTCCGCACTAGGCATGTGTGCATAGGTATCCGTTGAAGAGATTTCGCTGTTTTTCGAGCGAACTGTGTTACTGATACGGATCTGTGCCGGGATCGCAAATTATTGAGTAGGTTTCTAGTCGTTTGAGTGAGTTTAAAGCTTCGAAGTCGCACGGGGCTAATTATTTTCTATTCATCATTGCTGTATACGCGCCCACAAACTGTAGCGATGAATCTACCGCCAACTGACCCAGCTCCTTCGCCACAGAAGAAGCACGGACACTGTTGTGCTGGCGGGGGATATGAACGCACAAGTTGGAAAGTTGTCCACTGATGAAATGCATCTGGGCGGTCAACACGGTGTAGGCTCCCGTAATGATAACAGTGAGCGGTTACTTCATTTGTGTGAAGATGCCCGCTTATTTCTTGCGAGCACTAACTTCCGACCCAGGACTCGTCGGAGGGTGATTTGGCGCCCACCAGCCTTGGACGCGGATCGATCACATTGCGATAAGTTACCGCTGGAGAGGCTGCATCCAGAATTGTCGCTTGATTTGGAGCACATGTGTGGACACCGATCATGCACTTGTATGTGCTGACATGCGGATGCGTTTTGGCGGACGCCTACGACGACGCTTTGAGCGCATTGACACCAGCCAACTTGCGATACCAGCTTTTCTGAATGTGTATCGAAGTACGCTGACATGCGAGTTGAGTAAGCGCTCACTGGAGACAGTCGATGATACCAGGTCACATGTTCGCCAGACCTTACTAGCAGCAAGCGAATCCTCATGTGGTAAGTCTAATAGCCAGCATGGACATTGGATCTCTTCGCGGTCTCTGGAACTTATCGATGCTTACCGGCATATCACGGCTGGAAGCGAGCACAATGAAACTCGCAAAGAGCTCCGGTCAAGACTCCGTGCTAGCCTGAAGAAAGATCGCGAATCCTGGTGGTCTCTTCGGGCGTCAGAGATGGAAGTGGCCGCTGCCCTTGATAACCATCGTAAGTTATTCCGTCTGATACGGGAAACGGGCAGCAGGAGACCTGATGTTAGTAAAACTATATGTGACCAGAGTTGACAGTCTATCCACAATTTGTCAAATCATTTGAAGCCTTGGGCTGAGCATTTTGAAAAGCAATTTAATGGGCCGGCATTGTATGATTCTTCGCCGGCCAGTGATCGCCCTGCTCCGTGAACTGTCCCTTTGGATCCACCCTCTCGCTCAGAAGTCATACGTGAGATCGGACTGTTGAAGTTGAACAAAGCTGCGGAACCAGATGATCTTCATCGAACCCTCTTCAAATTCGGAGACTGCTCTTGTTGACGATTTACATGAATTACTAGCGAAACTGTGGGAGCAGGATACTGTCCCAACCGACTGGAGCCGCTCCGTCATAGTCCCAATTTTAAAAGGAGGCTCACGATCGGAGTGCAGCAAGCATAGAGAGGAATCAGTCTGATCCTCATCGCCTCCAAATTACTCGCTTCCATAATTCTTCACAGACTGACTGGCACTCGTGCAAGCCTGATTCGTGAGGAGCAAACCGGGTTTCGTCGTGGTCGTGGCTGCATCGGCCACATCTTCACCTTGCGTCAGTTGTTGGAACACCGTCACACATATTGGCGGCCCACCGTAGTCGTGTTCATCGACATCAAAGGTGCCTTCGATTCGGTTGATCGATGTGCCCTTTGGAATTGTCTACTCAGGAAAGGTGTGCCCGAGAAATATGTAAATATTATCCAAGCATTATACGCGCGTAGCACGGGCAGAGTGAGGGCTTACGGCAAGCTGTCGCCGCCTTTCAATATCTCCAGCGGTGTGAGACAAGAGTGCCTGTTGTCACCTTTCCTCTTCAACTTCGCTATTGACGAAGTCATGGAGATGCATTTACAGGACATGACTTGGAAGATGTGGAGCTACTCCCAGGAGAACGACTTCTTGACTTAGAGAATGCGGACGACATTGCCCTCATCAGTGACAGCTCCCAGACGTGCCAAGCCGCGTTGGACAGATTAGCACTGGCTGTCAGCCGCTTCGGGCTTTGCTTTGCACCATCGAAGTGCAAAGCGTTCCTCCAAGATTGGCAGGGGTTACCTCCTACTTTGACTCTTGGTGGGGATCTGCTAGAAGTCGTTCAGAAATTCAATTACCTGGGAAGTTGTATCAGCGCCCTTGGGATCGAAGACGAGATCACGAACCGTATAGCGAAAGCTAACCTACGCCACCTATGGCGACGGCGCGACATCACTCTCGCCTTGAAGAGTAGAGTGTACAATGCAGCGGTACGTTCGACCCTACTGTACGGTTGCGAAACCTGGCCCCTAAGATTGGCAGACATCAAGAAGCTAGTTACATTCGACCATCGATGCCTTCGCAGTTTGGCTCACATCTGGTGGGAACACCGCGTGAGTAACGAGCGTGTTCGACGCCTTGTTGACGGCCCAGGAAAAGGAACTGAACCGCTCAGCACCTTGATTTCACGCATCAGGCTCCGATGGCTGGGCCACGTGTTGCGCATGCCAGCCCACCGACTTCCGCGACGTGCATTGTTTGCGCGCCGGTGGTGTAAATGGAAGAAGAGGAGGGGTGACCAAGCGAAGACAAAGTCCAGAGGAATGAAGGCCCTCACTTCGGAGCTGGCCTCGGTTGGAGCGTCACGGCTCCCTGGTTGGGGTCTGAAGGACGATGAACACGTATGGCTGGCTACACTTGCTGACATGGCATGGACCCGACCTCAGTGGCGTTCCTGTTGTGAGTTTCTTTGTCCCTCCCCATCCCTTTTAGCCTCCACCTCCAACCACGATCTCATTTCGTAGCGTAATATAATTTTACGCAATAATTTTGCCTGTTGATTAATAGCCGGCTGGTAGCTTACCAGAACGATGTCTATCCGTTGCTGGTAGCTCAGCTGGCATGCAACTGTTGTATTTATTTTCCTTTTCCCTTATGTATTGCGGCACAGTAGCTGGGTTGTTTTATACCTCTAGCTAACGTGCATAATGATGATGATGATGCTAGGTGTATGATGAATCGGTCGGTAAATGGTAACATTTTGCTTGGTACTAACAGGCAAAATTATTATGTAAAATTAGATTGCGGATTATGAATGAGGTTTTCCAGTGATCAGGGAACAGCTAGTATGTAGCGATAATGTGAACATGTTCCGCAACACTAATGTAAGTTTGGCCCTCATTTTAATCACAGTTGTAGGGATACCGTCGGAGTCCAACATGAGAGAAGGTTTGTTGGTTTTCATTAGCCACTGAATAGTGCTGAGAGGAATTTCTACACTGTTTAAACTTTTGCTTATAGCGAGTTGAGGGGATTCAGGTATGGGGTCTGATTCAGAAATCATGGAGGCAGCAAAGAAGGCGCTAAACGCCTCACAAATGATAAGTGGATCACTCAGAGATTTGCCATGTTCATGTAAGAGTCCCGTGAAAGAAGAAGAGCTATTAGCTGTTCTATGACGAAGTATGGCGACGAGTTTCTTTGTTTTGTTGCCCGTTCGTAGAGCATTTTCCCCTCGCTTTTGAGTCTCATTGTTTGCTCATGTTTGATCCTAGTGGTCCATTCATGCACTTGCAATATTGTCGAAAAGTCTCTGGCCCTGTGAAATCTTGCCATCAATTTTCTTTTCTGGGTGAGTAAGCGTTCTTTTACATCCTTACGGAACGCGTTTACTTTGTGTAGTAAGATTGGTTGTGGCATAGTGTATGTTAGTATTGAACTGTGCTACTGTTAAGCAAACATTGGTGGATAGGAAACATGTATCCCAGTCAACAGACCGAACCAAATGTTGGAGGTGTGTCCAATCAAGTTCTTGGATGGGATATTGTGGGAGCCGGTGCTTTTCGACATCTGATCTGATATTGAAAATGGATTGTAATGTTTTGTGGTCACTACCTGGGAGACAGTCCAGCAGAGCGATGTTTGCGTTGACGATTCCTAATCTAAGCATTAAATGAATTACGCTAGTGGACCTAGTAGGTTCTGTAATCCATTGTGTCCATCCTCCAGGCATTATAGTTGACAAGAAATCTGTATGTTAACGAAGATGGATTTGGTGACCAAGATATTTTCGGGAAATTGAAGTCTTCAGCTATTATTTTCTGTTTGTACTGCAGGACCCATACAAAATGTAATGCGGAGCAGTTGGAAGCAACGTCACCAGTTGGTACATTTGATGCGTTGTATATGCATCCAAGAAGCTTATGGTGAGAAGTGCTAGTAACAAGTAACTACCGAAATTCCGGAACATTTTTTAACTGATGAGGATCAAAAAGCATCACTGTGAATGTTCGATGCATATGTATATAATACATCCGACTCCACGCCTTGTGCAGCGATCTTTACGAAATTGTTGGTAGTCGGGGATAGTTAAGGTTGGATCCAACGTATTAATAGAGCACCACGTTTCCGTGACCAGGATTGCACTTGGAGTTTTCAACTATGTAATCATGTTTGGTACATCTCCAACTCCTGTTACTACTACTCACCGAAGAAAGAAGCACATAGGCTTAACACATCGTTCCAGTCCCGTTTGAACTTGCAATTAAGTCGTACGTGTTTTCTCATTTATTCCCTTCCTTCGCATCACTGTGCTGGCCGCATACCTTCATGTATTTAAACGTATCGATATGTACTGTACTTTTCCCGTCTCCAAGCCTGACTTTTGGTTCACATGGTATCAAAGACCCCCATATTGTTATTTCGTCTCACTTTTCAAGCGGTCGCACATCTTCTGTCATTTGTCATCTGATTCAGCGCATCCCTATGTGTCTCTGTGTTCCAGCCGAGGTTCTTATGGGCAAGAAAAAGAAAAATGTTGGCCCCCAGCCACGGACTAAAGACAATTTAAAACCTTCCAGCAGTGAAAGGGCTGCGCAGTTTCTGGTTCAACATACAGGGGGTTTGGGGTTGCCGTCCTCTTTCCTGTCCAGCACCGGCACTTACGGTGTTTGCAACACGACCACGATTTTTGAAGATGAAGGGCAGTCAGCCGAGTTTGTTCCCGTTCCTCAGGATCCAGATGCACTAAATCTAGATAGCCGTCTTCTTGGCATTTTGAAGCGTTTGGACAAACGGGACGTGACCACCAAACAAAAGGCTCTGCGTGAGCTGTCGGCTCTCCTCCGATCCGATACTGATGTAGAGCTGTCCGCTCTCATTGCCATACTTCCATATTGGTCACCAATTTTTTGCCGACTCTCTGACGATCCCGACAGAAAGGTACGAGAATATACCCAAATGGCTATGTGTTTTCTGGTTCGTCGTGTCCGTAGTGAATTGAGACCTTACGTGAAACAAGTGAGTGTTTTCTTTGTTATCATATTTACTGCTAAACACACGTAGAATCTGGAGTCTGTCCTGGCTTGAGTGCAAAGTCTTCTTGTTTAGTTACTGCATGGAGTTGGATACTGGGCGCTTAGGTTGCTGATAAATGCATTCTACACATTCAATTTACTTAGGTTGGACCGACTTGAACTGTCGTTTTACGTTTGATACTTTGCGACGCTTCTCTTCTCTGTATTTGTGGTCTCATTTTTCACCGATTATTGCAACTTCACATCCTACTATACTTATTTTGCTACTGCATTGGTAACGTTTATTCGCACACTCAAACTTTGAACCACTCTTTGACCTTTGGACCAATGGTTTTCTTCATTTGAGTGAGATGTCGGGACCCAACCGGTGTATCTTGTCAAGGGCACACACTCATCGTCATGAATTCGGTTATACTCACAAATGGTGGAGGTAGACACATCAGCAGAGAGTAGTTCGGTTCGATATTTAGGTATGTTAGTACTTACGTGTGTGATGTCACAGACGTTATCAGGGATCGGATGTGATCCGTGGAGACGCATCTTGATCTCTGTGGACAAAATTATTGCTAGAGCCAGCATAGATTCGATGTGGCGTTTATGTGTACCGTAAGCCCACTGTGAGACGGGTAGACAGTCATCATCATCATCATATCGCTCCGCTCCCAGGCCAGTTTGTTCAGTTTTTTTGTCATACATCGTAATTTTTTGTCTTCAATTGTTTAATTCAGTATTATTTGTCATTCTGAATTATCCAGTAATAAATTTTAAACCTTTTTCGGCAGTAATTCTATCGTTCTACTCTGCCTTGCTTCTCTTCCGTCCTGGTCGTATTTTACTCGTGTCCTCGTCAGGCCAGTTTATCTCGTTCTTTTCATTGTTATAGTAGTTTTATGCTATAAATATTTGTGTAATTCGCTCACATTAGTTCTTTGGATTTAGTTCATCATAACTACCTGTACTAGTTTTTTTTATAGCTTTTTACAACTTCTGTGACCAGCCAACTGGCGAAGCCAGCTGTTCTGAGTGACCAGGCAACTGGCGAAGCCAGCTGTTCTGAATGCCTATCAAAGTACGCTGTTATGCGAGTTGGATAGACGCTCACTGGATGCAGTTGAAGCTCACTGGTCTCATATTCACCAGACCTTACTAGCAGCAGGAAAATCCTCATATGGTGTGTCTAATCGCCAACATGGACATTGGGTCTCTTCACAGTCTCTGGTACTTATCGATGCTCGCCGGCATATTCCGGCTGGAAGCGAACACAATGAAACTCGCAAAGAGCTCTGGGCAAAACTCCGTGCTAGCCTGAAGAAAGCCCGCGAATCCTGGTGGTCTCATCGTGCAACAGAGATGGAAATGGCCGCTGCCGTTGGCAACAATCGTAAGTTATTCCGTCTGATACGGGAAACGGGCAGCAGGAGACCTGATGTTAGTGAAACTATACGTGGTGAAAATGGACAGCCTATCCACAACTTATCAAAACGTTTGGAGCGTTGGGCTGAGCACTTTAAAAGGCAATTTAATCGGTCGGAATGGTTAGATTTCTTGCCGGCCACTGATCGCCCCTTTGGATCCACGCTCTCGCTCAGAAGTCGAACGTGAGATCAGACTGTTGAAGTTAAATAAAGCCGCGGGACCTGATGATCTTCATCGAACCCTCTTCAAATTCGGTGTACCTGCTCTTATGGATGATTTACACGAGTTACTAGTCAAACTGTGGGAGCAGGAAACTGTCCCAACCGATTGGAGCCGCTCTGTCATAGTCCCAATTTTCAAAGGAGGCTCACGATCGGAATGCGGCAGCCATAGTGGAATCAGTCTGATCTCCATCGCCTCCAAATTGCTTACCTCTGCCATCCTTCACAGACTGACTGGCACTCGTGCAAGCCTGATTCGTGAGGAGCAAACCGGGTTTCGTCGAGGTCGTAGCTGCATTGACCACATCTTCACCTTGCGTCAGTTGTTGGAGCACCGCCACATATATTGGCGGCCCACCATTGTCATGTACCTCGATATCGAAGGTGCATTCGATTCGGTGGATAGACATGCACTTTGGGACTGTCTACTCAGGAAAGGTGTACCAGAGAAATATGTAAATATTATCCGAGCATTATATGCTCGTAGCTCCTGCAGAGTGAGGGCTTACGGAAAGCTGTCGTCGCCCTTTAATATCTCCAGCGGCGTGAGACAAGTATGCCCGCTGTCACCTTTCCTCTTCAACTTCACTGTTGACGAAGTCATGGAAATCGCGTTTACAGGACACGACTTAGAAGGTGTGGAGCTACTCCCAGGAGAACGACTTCTTGGCTTAGAGTATGTTGATGATATCGCCCTAATCTGTGACAGCTCACAAACGTGTCAGACGGCACTGAACAGATTAGCACTAGCTGTCCTTCACTTCGGGCTTTGCTTCGCACCCTCGAAGTGCAAAGCTTTCCTCCAATATTGTTCTGGACCGCCCCCTACGGCCGACCGTTGGTGGGGAACAGCTGGAAGTCGTTCAAAAATTTAACTACCTGGGAAGTTGTATCAGCGCCCGTGGGATTGAAGATGAGATCACGAATCGTATAGCAAAAGCTCGGGGCGCTTTTGCTAACCTTCGCCACTTATGGCGCCGGCGCGACATCACTGTTGCCCTGAAGGGTAGAGTGTACAATGCAGCAGTACGTTTCCCCCCTACTGTACGGTTGTGAAACCTAGCCGCTTAAAGCAGCGAACCTGAAGAGGCTAGTTACGTTCGACCACCGGTGCCTTCGCAATTTAGCTCACATCTGGTGGGAACACCGCGTGAGTAACGAGCGTGTCCGACGCCTTGTTTATGGCACAGGAAAAGGATCTGAACCGCTCAGCACCGTTATTTCACGCATCAGGCTCCGATGGCTCGGCCACGTGTTACGTATGACAGCACACCGACTCCCACGGCGTGTTGTTTGCGCGCCGGGTGTGTGGATGGAAGAAGAGGAGGGGTGGCCAAGCAATGACTTGGTCGAGAGGAATGAAATCCCTCACTTCGGAGCTGGCCTCGGTTGGAGCGTCTCGGCTCCCTGTTTGGGGTACGAAAGACGATGAACACGTTTGGTTGGACACACTTGCTGATATGGCTAGGAGCCGACCTCCGTGGCGTTCGTGCTGTGAGTTTCTTTGTCCCACCCCATCCCTCTTAGCCTCCCCCTCCAACCACGATCTCATTATTTAACCTTATATATTTTTGCGTAGTAATTTTTTGATGCACAGTAGCCGGCTGGTAGTTTACCAGTACGATGCCCATCCGTTACCGGTAGCTCAGCCGGCTTGCCCCAGTTGAATTCTTTTTCTCTCTCTCCTTTTTTCTGTGTGTTGCGGCACAGTAGCTGAGGTGTTCTCCACCTCTAGCTAACGTGTATGATGATGAAGATGATAACTTCTGTGATTCTACATTACACTGATTTACTCGTATCGATCGGTGCTTATTTTTGAAATGGCAAAGCAGACACCTAGTGATGTTTGTTCCAAAGTTGTTGGGCATCGCGCAAATGCGATTACATGCAGTTTGTGCAGCCTAAAGTTTCATATTTCGTGCATTGGTCTGTCTGTGGACCGATTCCGCGTAATTCAGGGGATTCAACACGATTTTTTGAAGACCAATTGTAAGCAGTGTCAGTCTAAACTTGGGCAGAATGGAACCGAAAAGCCTGACAAGCGGATCAGTAGAGCGAAGTGCGCTAAAACGCGCAGCACCACAATCCGAGAAACAGGCAGAGCTTAGTACAACAGCGAATCTATCCCTGGAGCAAAGTGCCAGCGTTCTGGCAGGCTCGCCTTCAAGGCCTACGATTTCTTCACTTGACACTAAAGCTCTACTTTGTAATAAGCAAATTGGTGATAACGAATGGTAAATGCAAATACCAAAGTAACCAAGAACAATGTTTAGCGACCTGAGGCGCCGCATCCTCATGGCCTTTCACGCATCTGAATTATATGATTTCAATCCTCAGGTGCACTATGAGCATGATGTCGAGTTTTTGCAAACTCTGCTTGATAGACTGCTTGACGTGGATGAGGGCGCGCTCAAAATGAAACAGATCGCTCGTCTCGGAAAGAGAACTGAGGGCAAAAGTCGACCTATGAGGGTGACTTTTATCGAAGAGGCAAGTCCGAAGTTAATATTGTCCCGCCTTAAAAGGCTGTGATAATTGAACTAAAGCGACGCTCGGACGATGGAGAAACAAATCTCCGTATTGTAAATTTTTGGGTATTTACCCGGATTCCTCCGTGAATCCGGATCAACAGGTTTCTGATGCTTCAGGCATGCCCAGCGGTTCCTACCGCGGCCTGCGCGTAGCTTTCAGTAACGTCTGCCGTCTGATGAACAAGCGCGATGAGCTGTACTACTTTGTAAGCTCCCAGCGACCAGACGTAGTAGGCCTTGCTGAGACATGGTTAAACTCCGGCGTAACTGCCCAAGAAGTGGAAATCAGCGGCTACTCATGCTTCCGCTGTGATAGACCATCAAATAATCGCGGTGTCGTTCTGCTTTACCTAAAGTCTTCTTTGTGTGGGAGACTAGTGAACGCCTACCGAAGCCCTGATGGTCTGTGTGAGCAGTTATGGTGTTCGATTCACCTCAGACGCTGCGAGATGCTCGTAGACGTGGTATATCGCAGTCCACTGAGCCGCTGTTTGGACTGGATGCCGCATGTCCGCAACCACATGAGTCGTCAGCTGTTCCTACTCATGGGCGATTTCAACTTACCCTGAATACAGTGGCCCGAGGCTGAACTTCTCCCCGGCCATTGTGAATTCGAGAGGAAGTTTACGGAATTGATATTTGAAACCGGGGCCACACAGCACATCAACCAACAGACACGCAGAACTGCGCGCGCGACTCCATCGTGCTTAGACCTGCTTTTGACCAGCTGTGAGCAACGTGTGCATGACATTCAAGTCTTAGAGCCTCTTGGAGCGAGTGACCACTCGATAACTATAGCCAGCTTGGAACTTCCG